TTGCGGCCGGGCGCTGCAAGTACCGGTCCCATCCAAATGCAGTCTAGTACCATTTTAAATGCCTCAGTATCGCAGTACCATACTAGTACCGGTATATCGTGCAACACTAGTCATGAATAAAGCAAAGTTGGAGAAAAACAACATTTGAACGTTTTCTACATCCTGTGTGAAGAAAAGCAGAAGTGAATATAAAGATACGGGTAGGAGGAATCACCTAAAATGATCTTGAACCAGACCCGTGTCTTCGACAGCTCCTAAGAGAAAATGAGATCGTTGTAATACTGATAATGCCGCCCTCACACATAAACAGACTCAAAAAACAAAATTTCAGCTTTGTCAGAGCCACAGGTCATTACAGTGGATTTACGTATCTGTTGGTTCTGCAGGTGCACCGCTCATCCCTGCTGGTGCCAGAGCAGGTGGCCAAACCACAGGAAGTGAACGGGACCGCTGGGAAAGCAGTGCTGCATGTGACGGACACGCCAAGACAAACCGAGCACTCCACAGATTCAGACGAAGATGAGGGGGGAGACACAGACGAGCTCGGGACCAGTAAGAATCTAATGAAGTAGTTAGCAAGACAACAAGCTCGTATCTAAATGTTTATCAGCTCTACAAGTGCATGGGAAGCAGAGTGAGTTTGCTTCACAACCTGTTTGTCTTACCCTTCACAAGAAACTTGTTGACTGGGAACAGCGGACAGTGAGGCCCGTCATTTTATTAGTCCTTTTTGTGATGCGCTCAAAGGCGATCCAAAATGCCAGAAAGGTCCATAAACAAATTAAGTCATTTCTATCATTAAGAAATTGCTCCTGTTGCAGCTGCTCTCAGAATATTAACCTTGTTGATCATGAAGACATATTTTCTGCACTGTAGCTCCACTATATGCATGTTCAGATTAAAATAAAAAGGTTCTGCAGCTTTAATAATTCTCAGACTAATCACAGTTGAACCTGAATATGTTTGTGTGACACACCTAGGGCCGGGTCACCGGGACCGAACGGTGCTGCACTGCCAGTTCTGTGGGAAGAGAGGTCACGCACACAACTTCATGCGGTCCAAACGCTTCTGCTCCACTTCGTGTGCACGCGGGTGAGACCAGAATGCATTGGCTTAAAAGCAAAAGGGAGGAAAAGGGGCAGCTGCTGTATAATTTTTCGCAAAGAAGCACTGTTTTGTGTGTTTGTGGGTGTTGCTGTCAGAGCAGCAGCACTGGCAGGATGTGGTGTGGAGGCAGACAGGTGTTAAATACAGATATGAGTTTGAATCAAAGCAACAGAAGCAGGAAGTATTACCACATCTCTTCTAATGTTTCTCTGTCCTGTGTCAGGTTTAACGTTCGTCTAACAAAGCGTCTGCGAGCTCTGAGTGCAGGCAGTCGCTCAGAGAGGCCCCGCCCACCTCTGAACAGGGCTGAGTCGGTCCCCGGGAAGCCTCTGCTGCTGCGCCTGGTAGGGACACTCAACTAACCCTGCACACAGCAGTCAAAGTGTTAGCCCATCTCCATGTTTCCAGTTGTTATCAGTGTAATCCAACAGCCTGACACACCTACCACTTCTGCAGTATTACAGAAAAACTGTTCCTGGAAAGCAAAAAGCCTGCCACCAGTAGATAAACACCAACCAGCACGATTTAATGGCTGAGTGGAAGGATGTTGTATTTAAACTAAACCAATATTTGCAATTCAAAAGACAGAAACCTGCTTTTCTCCAACCACACTGTTGAGTAAATTAATCAGTTTTGTTCAGTCAGTTGTCAAAACAACTAGATCACAGTTACGTACATTTACAAACAGACACGCAACATAAAGTAACTCAAGTGACCCTTTATTCAGTTTGAATTATGTGATAGAGATGGGAAAGGGAGAGTGGTGCTGAGTCCAGGTCAGTCCACTCACATTTGCCTAAGGGCAGTTCATGATGAGGCAGCTAAGTTCAGCTGTGGGTTTGTTTGGGTGGGGGACACTGGCTGAGGGTCTAGGAGAGGGACAACCTGGAGAGTGAGAGGAAAAGAGGACTTAGCATTCAGGGGTTGACATCCGGTTGAAGAGAAGCCACATCCGAACAGGTCAAGAAAAGCTCCAAAGTTCACATTTCACGCTGCGCCTCATTTACTCCTCAGCTACTTCAGCATCGGGTGACATTCAGATCCAGGTTAAAACGGGCCTCTTCGCTCTCGCTCCACTCTCTGCCTGTTTACTTGCTGGCCCCGCCTCCTGCCATGGTGTGCCTCATTTAGCTCCCACTTCCTGTCTCTGTAGGTGTCACAGCTTTTCCTTTCCTTTTTTTGCCATAATGTTAACATGTTCCAATGCATTCTAACACATTCACATGCCTACATGTTGAAGAGGTGACCCCCTACATCATGCACACAACTTGACAGTAATAAACTATTCTACTATTTACTCCACTGCATCAATTTGATCTTACATCAATAAAATGTGACAGTCTTTTAAAACACAATCCATTATGCTTGTGACCTCGTGCAGATGGTGCTAGCAGTTCCACCACAGAGAGCTTCGCCCTCTTAAAAGCCTGCGTGAGGCCCGAGAGTCACATGAGCCCATATCTCACAAAAAAGGAAATATTAGAGAAAAATCTGAATCTAAATTTGTGCAGCATGACTCTGTTTTGTCTCCTGTACTCTCCCGTTAATCATCTCATAATCTACAAATACTGACGGGTGAGCTCTCCTGGCTTCACTCCGTGATGCAGTGTGCATTTTGTCCTGCAGCCTCGTGATCTCTGGAGCGCCGGCCGACGTGAGAAGGAGGGAAAGGAGAAGGCAGCGGCGGCAGAGGAGGAGGACGTGATGGCAGAAGCGGAGGACGACGACGACGGTGACGGCGTGGAGGAGGAACCTGCAGTTGCCATGACATTGAGGATGGACCGCCAGGCAGTGCGGAGAGCGAGGAGGGCGTCCGCGCCCGCAGTCACCACATCTACACCCACGACCACATTCAAACCCTCCCCCTCCCAGTGGAGTGTGGAGGAGGTGACGGCCTTCATACACACGCTGCCAGGTAAAGTAGCCTGCTCACAGGTTGGTCTCAGATACACACGGGATCAAATTTGTTGGTGAAGCTGCTCCTGGGACACTCAGCCTCTGTTTGCCCTGTCGGCTTGATTTGCACACATAAATGTTTTAATCATCAGCAGCTTCGCTGTCTTCCCTCGTCCAAAGATGTGTTTCGCAAAATGGTGACATTAATCACTGGGTGACAAAGCACACATGGTTTTAGCTACTGTCAGTCTGAGGGAAACTGTGGTGAAACATGGGTGTTCTGCCCAGTACTCTTACCTGATACATGCTGGGATAGACTTCAGCCCCACGTGACCCCGAGCAGGATGCATGGTTTAAAAGATACCTGTTGTGTCTGTGTCGTGGTCTAGGCTGCAGCGATGTGGCGGAGGCTTTCCGGCTGCAGGAGATCGACGGCCAGGCTCTGATGCTGCTGACCGAGGACCACCTGATGACCAGCATGAACATCAAACTGGGACCAGCTCTCAAGATCTGTGCTCACATCAACACACTGAAAAACCAGTGAGAGAAAAAAAACTGAGAAAAATCAAAACAGCCAATAAAGACATGTAGAAGAAAGACAGACGCTGACAGGATGACAGAACAAAGTCCCAAAAAGAGAATCGCGGTCATTTATGAGCTTATAAATGGAGGTGTGGCCTGAGTACATGGGAACAGAGGAGATGTGCAGAAGAGAACTGTCAGTCATTCGTTTGGGGCCCACTACCTGTAGCAGGAGCCCGGGGGGTTTGTAACTTTGTGTATATTTTTCATGCTGCTGGAGAGTGTACATTTGAAGCTATTTCATGAAGGATTTTGAACATTTAATATATAAAATTTGTCTATTTAGTTTTTTTAGACGTGACGTCAATGACAGATCTATCCAGTAGCAAACATAACCCATGTGTGTACAAGAAAAAATATTAATATGTAGACTGTAAGTGATTAATGAAAGTTTAATGTTTTATATCACTATATTCTGGACAAAAACATGTCTGTGGATTAAAAAAGTCACTATCAGGGTAGAGACTTGTGTCTTTAATCGTCACATTTTTATGGTATCCTGCTTGAAATTATTTAATAAAGGAATAAATAATCAAACCGATTGGTTTCTCCTTTCACTGCTGAGGATGGAGAGGCACCAGCAGAGGGCGCAGTGAGGCGGGTGAGTCATACAGGTAGAGGAATCTGGTATTTTATAAAACTGATCTGAATTGATGTCTCAAGGTTCCCCCCTATCCCTGGCAAAGACTCCAGTTCTGCTTCTCTGATGGATTTAGGTTTTTGTTTTTCTCTCTCGCCATATCTGGTTTGGCTTAAGACCTCGTGAGCTCTGATTGGCTCAAACTTTGGACTGAAGGATGTGTTTTCTACCACACCCTATTATAAGTCCTATTCTAGGTATTTTTTCAACGTGATCAGCCTGTGGCGGACTAACGGAACAAAGCAGCCCGGTTTTTATCGGGTCCAAAACGGAGAGAACAATTTCTACTGTTTTCACCTTTTCATTTTTATTAACTGAGAATTCAATGATATTTCTGCGTTTTGTTTTTTCCCATACGTCTGGCGCATAAATATACATCTGGAACACTACAGGAGGCTGTTTAACAGGTGCCAACAGTAAAATAAATACTACGACGCCACCCTACCTTTGTAGAGTCAGTGATCTAAGTTTTTGGAGCGCGCAAAAACGCTCGTCGGCTCCACATGGCGCACATACAGTGCCTTGCGAAAGTATTCGGCCCCCTTGAACTTTGCGACCTTTTGCCACATTTCAGGCTTCAAACATAAAGATATAAAACTGTAATTTTTTGTGAAGAATCAACAACAAGTGGGACACAATCATGAAGTGGAACGAAATTTATTGGATATTTCAAACTTTTTTAACAAATAAAAAACTGAAAAATTGGGCGTGCAAAATTATTCAGCCCCCTTAAGTTAATACTTTGTAGCGCCACCTTTTGCTGCGATTACAGCTGTAAGTCACTTGGGGTATGTCTCTATCAGTTTTGCACATCAAGAGACTTAAATTTTGCCCATTCCTCCTTGCAAAACAGCTCGAGCTCAGTGAGGTTGGATAGAGAGCGTTTGTGAACAGCAGTTTTCAGTTCCTTCCACAGATTCTCGATTGGATTCAGGTCTGGACTTTGACTTGGCCATTCTAACACCTGGATATGTTTATCTGTGAACCATTCCATTGTAGATTTTGCTTTATGTTTTGGATCATTGTCTTGTTGGAAGACAAATCTCCGTCCCAGTCTCAGATCTTTTGCAGACTCCATCAGGTTTCCTTCCAGAATGGTCCTGTATTTGGCTCCATCCATCTTCCCATCAATTTTAACCACCTTCCCTGTCCCTGCTGAAGAAAAGCAGGCCCAAACCATGATGCTGCCACCACCATGTTTGACAGTGGGGATGGTGTGTTCAGGGTGATGAGCTGTGTTGCTTTTACGCCAAACATAACGTTTTGCATTGTTGCCAAAAAGTTCAATTTTGGTTTCATCTGACCAGAGCACCTTCTTCCACATGTTTGGTGTGTCTCCCAGGTGGCTTGTGGCAAACTTTAAACGACACTTTTTATGGATATCTTTAAGAAATGGCTTTCTTCTTGCCACTCTTCCATAAAGGCCAGATTTGTGCAGTATACGACTGATTGTTGTCCTATGGACAGAGTCTCCCACCTCAGCTGTAGATCTCTGCAGTTCATCCAGAGTGATCATGGGCCTCTTGGCTGCATCTCTGATCAGTCTTCTCCTTGTATGAGCTGAAAGTTTAGAGGGACGGCCAGGTCTTGGTAGATTTGCAGTGGTCTGATACTCCTTCCATTTCAATATTATCGCTTGCACAGTGCTCCTTGGGATGTTTAAAGCTTGGGAAATCTTTTTGTATCCAAATCCGGCTTTAAACTTCTCCACAACAGTATCTCGGACCTGCCTGGTGTGTTCCTTGTTCTTCATGATGCTCTCTGCGCTTTAAACAGACCTCTGAGACCTGCCTGGTGTGTTCTTTGTTCTTCATGATGCTCTCTGCGCTTTAAACGGACCTCTGAGACTATCACAGTGCAGGTGCATTTATATGGAGACTTGATTACACACAGGTGGATTCTATTTATCATCATTAGTTATTTAGGTCAACATTGGATCATTCAGAGATCCTCACTGAACTTCTTTAGAGAGTTTGCTGCACTGAAAGTAAAGGGGCTGAATAATTTTGCATGCCCAATTTTTCAGTTTTTTATTTGTTAAAAAAGTTTGAAATATCCAATAAATTTCGTTCCACTTCATGATTGTGTCCCACTTGTTGTTGATTCTTCACAAAAAATTACAGTTTTATATCTTTATGTTTGAAGCCTGAAATGTGGCAAAAGGTCACAAAGTTCAAGGGGGCCGAATACTTTTGCAAGGCACTGTATGTAGGCACTTCACGGGCAGTGCGGCGAGCTGCGCAGGCTGGGTCGGAGTCATCGTTGCCACGGCCACCAACGACTGGGTCTGGACCTGCGACTACATGATGAGAATCTGCATCCACATGAAGGAGCTGTACTCACGGGGGTTCTGGGCAGACTGCGAGGTGTCGCAGTCGCTTTACCACTGCAAGACCCACGACCAGGTTCTCAGCCTGCCCGGTGAGAGGCGCACGGATGGGACCAGATAAACGTTTACATGTTTTGAAAAGTGGCTTGTTGCTTTAAATGGTTTCATTAATATTACTGCATGACACGTAAATGACTGGTTGAATGTTTAAAAGTGAAGTTTTGTTTGTCTGATGGTGGACAGATGAGTTTTACCCAGTGTGCTTTATACTGCTGTTTACCGTGTGTGTAAGAACTACTCAGATTGTTTACTTCAGTGAAAGCACCACATTGTACAAACTGTGTGTGTGCGCGCGTTCTGTTAGAGAGTGTGTTGAGGGTTTGAACCCAGACAGCTGCTCCGCTCACAGACTCATAAACCTCCCCTCTCAGCCTACGTGCAGACGTCTCGGGCCCTGATGGTCCTGGCCTGTGTGGTGGGGTGTCTCCCTGCCGCGCTGCTCGTCCTCATGTCCATGCCCTGCGTCGGCTGCCCAACGACTCCTCAGCCATAAAGTTGCGCCGTGCACGAGTGGGAGGCGTCCTCTTCATCCTCATGGGTGAGGAGACCTCACAAAAGACACACACTCTGTCGTGCATGAGCATTTAAATAAAAAAAATAAACACGACATACATTTAAAAATCAGTTTAAAGCATAAAATGCTGCATTTTAAAAGTCTGTATTGGCCCAACTCTCTCTTACATCTTATGTAGACTCAAATACTTTGAGAATGTAAATAGAATTTTATTTAAAAGTTACAATATATCAGGAAATTAAACCTGGCAATACCAATAAAGTACCAGACTGACAACAGTCATGTGGCCCGAGTTTCTATCAATCAGAAAGTCTCATAATTGTGTGTGTGAGCTCACCAGAGGCATGGTCGGATTATGAGACGACACCCCCCCCCCCACCCAGGACCCCCAAGCTATGACCCCCAGATGTTTGTAGCCAGTTTTTGTGTTGTCACCTTTTTGCTTCTCATTGTGGTCGTACTTGGGTTTTTCCCAGCGGTTGCAGGAGGTAGAAGAAGGGTCAGGGTCTGTCAGGCTGGTTCATGTGTCAGGCCTGTACGGTGAGCCAGGTTCCTGTCATCAGCCTGAGGGTCAGACGTGTGCACCACCTCCGCTGTAACCTCTCTGCGTTTGTGTCTTCTCCAGCTGTGTGTGGCATCATATGAACCATGTGGTTCCCCATTGGCACTCACCAACACAATCGCCTGATGTCGTTCGGCTTCTCTTTGTATACCAGCTAGGTCGGCTCCGCTCTCTGTCTCCTCGGGGGCTCTGTGATCCTGTGTTGCCACAGCAGTGACACCTGGATCCCAAGCAGGGAGAACAGCTTCTTCTACTCTAGACAGCAGGCCATGGCCACAGCAGTGGACGCCCCCGCCAACCATGCCAAGAGTGCACAGGTGTGAGGGTGTGGTTCTTCTTTGTTAACCAGTAGAATGTCATTACAATATGGTTTCACTGAGTAGCGATGCTAATGCCCTGCTTGAATGTGCTTTTTTTCAAACTTGCTCGATAGCACGGCGGCTAGAGAAACACCTTCCAGTAGCTGCACCAAGCAGTGCCAAACTTCCTGTTTTATGTAAATGACCCTAATAGTTCAACATTTTGTGGGTTTTTGTTTGTACTCTCTAAAAAGCTGATGAGTGCAAAACAAGTAGTTTAACTATGTCAGCAGGCAGCCAGAATCCAGAGGGTGACCAGCACAAAGTGGTCTGGTCTGCATCTGGCACACAAACACATTTGGTGAGTCCTGAAGCTGCCAAACAGCCTCATCTCATCTCTATTTTTTGACATACAGGCCCTAGTTTAGCATCTAAGGGAACTGTTGAAGGCAGTGCTCTACCCACCGCACCAACTGTCGCCCCTATATATTAGCTGAAATATTGTGCTTTATCAAATGAAGGTTGCCTCAGTGGGTCAGACATGTCTGGTGCTAAACACTGTATATGCAGTATCTTCAGCTGTATTTGTTGTGTTAGGCTTTTTCCAGACAGGAAGGAGGTCTGCTCAATATGATCCGGCAACCAGCCTGTTGAACTGAGCGTGGCCCCTGTCTTCAGCTGCACGTGGCTTAAACTAATCACGCCCCCTCTGAGGAGTCAGACCGGGTCAGCACGGTCCATTTCTCATTCACCTGTCAAAGCAATCTACAGCCTATACACGATGATTTCAGTTCACATAGTTGTTTCCTTCTTTGTCACCATTATGGAGTTTCCAGTTGTTTTTACATGATTTTAAATGTGTCTCCTTGTCAGGGACCAAGCAGTAAGGCAAAAGACACAGCTTCCAAAGTTCAAAATAAAGGGCTTTTTATTAACCCAAAAGTAAGTAAAATACAAAATTAACATCAGATAAATTGGGCCCTAAAAGAGGTCAACAAAAGATAAGGAAACTCAAAATACAGCAAACCACAGTGTCTAATACCTCAACAAAACC